GGCCAACCCGGTTCTCCATGACATCGTCATCATAGGCAGAGTCCCAATAACTGTGAGGCCAAGGGGTGGAAAGGGGTAATGGGGCTAAGCTCGGGTAAGACAAGAGGTAGAATGGAAAAAAGGGGCAAAATGGGAACAATCTGTGTCTAGTTAGGGGTAATGGTGATATATGGGAGGAAGCCTGGGAGGCCTGGTAGAAATACCCATCACTACTCCCTCTTTCAAGTTACTCTGTCTCAAAATGTGATCTAATAATCCAACCCAGCACCCTCCCCCTTTAAGGCACGGCCCTGACCTCTTCCTTAGCACAATCTTATACTCTTGACTCCGAAGACTGGTAACAGACACATAAGGCAGCTCAAACTCTTGCAACTTCCGTACAACTATAGGTTTAAAAAAAATAAAAATAAAAAAATAAAGCCAAAAAAGGAAAGCATGATGAGACTCGAATTCAAGAAAAAAGCACCCTGAGGAAATACACCAATCCAAGGGGAGACAAATAGAAATTCACTGAGAAACACATTGAAGTAAAGTCCATAGGAACTCACAAGAAAAGGCTCCATCCTCTTTTTCTCTAACGAGGAAGAGACTGAAGTATCCAATTAAATCATCTGGAAGATCCAGCTTTGCAGCCACAGCCTGAAAACAGGAAGTATGGCTCATCCTACTGGCTGGTTCCAATTCCCCATAAACTCCAGGTGAGTGCAGGGGCCTTGCTGAACAAGCACCTCACCTCTAGGACATCCTCCGTCTGATCTGAAGTTAGCACGTTGACCAAAACTTTCTGCCCATTGCTGAGCAGCACTTCCAAGGAGACCTCCTCTGTGGGGACCTGCTGTGTCTCCTGTGTGCATACAGGGATGGACAGGCAGGCCTTTGTTAACACCAGTCTAAGGTCCAGTTCTGACCCACCTCCAATTCTATTTCTAGTGCAGTGATGGCAAACCTTTTAGAACTTTCAGTAGTAACACAGCCCACTGTGGCATGCAAGCCATTGGTTCGTCACCACTGCTCGTGTCTTTATTTTCAACTAACATATAAGCTGTACTGAGGTCCCTCACTCATTGCAGAGGTTACATTCCAGACAACTCCATGACAAGTGAAAATCAGTGAAGTAGCGACGCTGTATTTTAGTATTTATATATATTTTAAAGCTTTATAAACCCTTCCCACACGTTTATAAACCTTCCCCCCACTTTTAAAATCACTTCTAATATTTTTAACCATTTTTTAAACTTATGTAATTTTAGCAATATAAGTATACTGTACGGTACTGCAAAATCCCGCGGTAGAGTGAAAATCCACAATAAACAGTTTAGATTAATATTTTTTGATTTTTTTTTTTTTTTTTCTTTTTTCATCTGTGACTCCAGAAGGGATCCAAAGAGGAGTTCCAGTCTCTTCTCTGGGTTTTATGGAGGCTTCCTTTACCCTTCTGTGTTAGCCTCTTATGGCACTGTGTCAACAATATTTTTTGAAAACCTGTGAAACAGTGAGGCTGCGAAGTCGAATTATGAAAACATCGAGGGACTATCATACATAAGGCTAAGTATGGCAGTGCCTGCTAGTAATCTCAGCACCCTGAGAGCCCAAGGCAAGAGGATCACAAGTTTGAGTCCAATTTGGGCAACTTAGTGACTTAGTAGGACCCTGTCTCAAAATTTAAAAGGGTCTGGGAAGTAGCTTAGTGTAAAGGTCCTGGATTTAATCCCCAGTACCACAAACAAAATAATACAAGCTGGGCTTTCACTTTCTTCAGCAGAAGCTCCATTCTATCAAAAAGTAGGGTGTGACGCTACATACCTATAATTCCAGCAGTTGGGAGGCTAAGATAGGATCACCAGGAGTTCAAGGCCAATCTGAACTCATAGTGAGACTCTCAGAACAGTGAGGACTTTCTCTGTAACCACATCATGAGAATGACATGGTCTTCCAGCAGGTCTTTCCCTTAAATTTGGGTGTCATCCTAAGCCTTACCTGCTGTGCCCGACGCAGGAAACTATTGAAGGTCTCACTGCTCCCAAGCAATGGGTCTTGGCGAACTGCGAGGACAAGAGAATGGTCTAGTAACCTAGAAGATACTCTCGGCTACCCCCAGTCCTCTTCTTAGTAGGCTCCCCCCACCCCACTTCCTGGGCTGATGGTGGCCTGCCACATCTCCCAGCTGGCCTCACCTCACTCACTGTTTGCATAAATTCTTCACCTGCCCCACCCTTGGCTGCCATCTAGTTGAGTCCAGTCTATAGAACTAGGGAAATAACAATGATGTTAATCTAAAGCACATGAGATACAAATTAAGTTCTTCCCACCAATCTAAACTGCTTTAATACTCAGTGTTATACTAGTATTTCTCATATATGATAGTGCCCAAATTTCTTTGCTAATACACAGTTACAAATCCTTTCAGGCTGTTTACTTTGCTAATTAAATAACAGGTCAGTAAGTGGATCCCAGATCTAGAAATTAATGTAGGACCTTCAATAGAGCCAGCTGTTTTTAATCTCTCCCCATGGTCCTGGAAATGTTTTAGAGTTCCTCTAATCACTCACCAGCTTGCATGTACTTCTCTAACTGCTCTCTCCTCTGTTCTACCTCTGCAGGTGTCAGAGAGAAAAGCTTCTTTGGGGGGAATGCAGGAAGCACATTTGCCCCATACTCCTTCCGAAGCTATGTAGAGAAAGAGATACAACCTTTCACATAAACACAGAAAATGAAGGGGAAGGGCCGACCAAATAGCTCAGCAGATTAAAGTACCTGCAGGCAGGCATAGGGTCTGGAAGTTCAATCCCCTGACCTGCCCTACCCCGCCCCGCCAGGCACGCTGAGCCAGCAATTGGCAATTGAGGCTGGGTGTGGTGGCGTGCGCCTGTAATCCCAGCTCTTGGGAGGCTGTAAGTAAACAAGTGGATCACAAGTCCGATCTAGCAGTGGGACCCTGTAGACCCTCCCCTAAAATAAAAAAAGAAAATGAGAGGGAGCAGTCAAGACTCAGTGTTCATCTGAGACTTCCTTGTCTATTTGTTATCTAGGAAACAATAGCTTTTGGTAGAGTCAGCATCTCAAGGGAATGGTTTTTTTTTTTTTTTTTTTTTTTGGCAGAACCGGGGATTGAACTCAGGCCCTTGCATTTGCCAGGGAAGCGCTTATTCTACTGAGCCATCTCCCTGGCCCAGGGAATGGATTTTTAAAAAAATTTTCTTTTTGGTTTTTTTGAGACAGGATCTCTTTATGTAGCTCCAGCTGGATTTGAACTCACTACATAGCCCAGGCTGGTCTCAAACTACTGGTGATCCTCTTGCCTCAGCTTCCCAAGTGCTAGGATTACAGGCATGCACCACAATGCCCAGCAAAGGGAACTGCTTTAGATTCCTGAGTTCTTTTTCTTTTAGTGTGAGCAAGTCAGTCCCTCCACAGTGTGGAGAGGAGGTGAATGGGTCCAAGACCTACAGGGAGCCCCTAAAGTATACAGCAAAGCTGTTCACTGAACTCTCACAGGAAACAGCCTTATTGGGAGCATTTATCTGCACATACAGTTAAGTATGTTCAGAAAGTATCTTAGGATTTAAAGGGACTTTCAGAGCAAGGAATCCATTTTTCAGCTGTAGATACTGAGGAAATTAGATAATTTCCTCAGAACTGCACAACTAATTATCAGTACAACCAGGACTACATCTGAATTAAATAGTGCTCACCATCTGGTGAGGAAAGTAGAGAAACACTGCATCACAAATACATAATAATTGGAACAGCTACACATACTGAACTGAGCCAAAGAACACACAAGGAAAGGGGTGAATATTTACAAGCAGAGAAAAGAATTCAAGCTGCAGGTCACATGGCAGAGGAATGTGTTTTGGCAGATTGGGAGGATTCGGTTTTTCCATGCAGAGGCAAAGGGTGAAAGTGCAGATAAGACGGTAGGAAAATACAAAAGAACTGAATAGAGGAAGGAGCAGTTATTTTGGCAGACATTCAGCTTCTTAGGGAGTTCCCTAGAAATGTCAGAGGATAAAAAACACTGACCCGCCTCTGTGGCTGTGATTAAAGGGGAAAGCGATGAGAGGAAGAATGGAAATAGACGCCCAAGTGCACGAAAGTGAAAACGCTGCCTTCAGGCAGGGGTGCTAGTCCCACCTGCTCGTGCAGGCCCAGAAGCTGGCTGTAGCGAACCCGACAGTGCAGGACTCCATTCACGTGAATGTTATAGGCCTAAGGATACAAAAGCAGGAAAACGTTTCAGGGTAGCAGTCAAGATACTGCTCTGAAAATCCCAGCCGGAAGTTGACTGGCTCAGCTCTGTGCAAAAAACGCGCCGAGATCTCTCAAGAGTTACGTAGCCTAGCCTGTCTTTTGCAGATTCAAGTCCCGAAGCAGAAGGGGCAGTCCAGGGGAAACTCGAGCGCTTGTGCTGCAGTTTCCTTCCCCCAGCGGCCAGTGACCATCACCAGAGCCGCGGCCTAGGTAAGTGGCCGGCCCAACAAAGGACCTCTTGGAGGAGCGACGTCTGTGCAAATCTGAGACGTTAGATACGCTGCAGCAAGACGGCGGCCCAAGATCAGGCCTGAACGATGGCAGCTGGGCCTAGGAGGCCTCTCCTAGGGGTTCAGCCCGTTATCCCCGCCCCGGCCCGTCCAACTCCTGCTGCTCCTCACCACGTAGGCAGAGCCGCCGCTGTCCCCGTTGCGGGACTCAGTTTCAGGAATGGAAAAGTGCATGATCCCTATGGCAAGGCCCACTCAGGCTCCGGACTGTAAGGGCCGCGGCGGCTCTGCACAATCGCCTCCGCTGTTCAGGGCGTCCCCGCAGCCTCACTCGCCATTTTGGGGGGCCTGATATCTGAGGTGGGAAGGCGGTATAACGTCGGCTCTAGGCGCAGTGATCTCGGCATGCTGGGAACTGTAGTCTAAGAGCAAGAAGATACTCTCGGGACTGAAGCCTAAAGTTCAGACAAACCTCTTCGCTACCCGTAGTCGGGGCGGAGCTCAGTGTACGCCGGGAGTTGTAGTCCACTTGATGCTGCGCACGCTAGGAGTCGGTAGTGGAGCCTCCAGCCCAGGTGGCGCTGTAGTCCCATTGACCTCCGAGCAAGGCACCCAGACTGCTCAGTGACTGCGGCGGGCGGAGCCTAGGACGGAGAGTGATGGCTGCTGTGGCTGTGGCTGTTCGCGAGGGTGAGTGAAGTGTTGGACGAACCAACTGGCACACGATCCGATGAGCTCCGTACGGCTTGTGCGCGAACTCGTTTGCGTCTGGTGGTTGCGTTCTGGCGCCACGCCAGACTCCGGTTTACAGTCTCCGGCACGGCCCCGCGCCTCGCACCAACTGGTTCCCGGGTGGAGGGTGGGTGACCCCTCCTTTCTCCGCCTGTCCTTTGATCCTGCCGCACAGTGCGTCCCCACGCGGAACCCTGGGTCGCCTCGCGCCCGGCGACGAATCGGTGGTCATGCCGACCCAGCAGCCAGCTGCGACCAGGAGGCCACCCAAGCCCTCCCGGAGCCTCTCTGGTTCACTTTGTGCACTGTTTTCTGATGCAGACTCGGGATCCGGGATGAAGGCGGAGCTGTCTTCTCAGCCTGGGGTAAGTGAAGCGGCCTGTCAAACGCTACGCAGGAAGTTCTGTCAGTTTCATTCAGCCCAGTTCCCATCTCCATTCCGTTTATTTCTCAGGAAAGCCGAGAAACTTTAGAATCTAATAGTATGTGACTTTGATCCTTGAAGAGAAGCTTTCATCCCTGTGGGATGTAAGTTTGTAATACCTACCATGAGGATGTTAGAAAGGATCGGGGATTTAACTACGTGGGAATCTTGTAAGCCAAAAGTGTTGACATGCCTTTGGAATTGTGGGGGCAGAGCAGTGTCCTATGTCTTTGTCTCAGGGAGGAGGCAGGGAGATGACCCAAGAAGAGAAGCTGCAGCTTCGGAAGGAAAAGAAACAGCAGAAGAAGAAACAGAAGGAGGAAAAAGGGGCAGAACCAGAAGCTGGCTCTGCTGTAACTTCAGCCCACTGTCAAGGTTCGGGATCTTTCTGAAAGGGCTGGGGTGTGGGGCTGGTGGATGGACGTGGTGGGAGAGGCAGGACAAAGTTGCCTTGCACAACTGAAAAAAAGTGAAGAGGTTTAAATAAAACAATAGCCAAGCTTTGGCTGGAGCACCTGTCTGATTTTACTTTAGTAGGGCCAGTGAGAGAACTGCCAGGACCCAGCAGGCAGTTGGAGGGTACTCCTGGTGAGAAAGTTCCAGCTGGTCGGAGTAAGGCTGAACTTCGTGCTGAGCGCCGGGCCAAGCAGGAGGCTGAGCGGGCCCTGAAACAGGCAAGAAAAGGAGAGCAAGGAGGGCCACCTCCTCAGGCCTGCCCCAGTGCTGCTGGAGAAACCCCTTCAGGTATCTTCCCTTCATTTTAAAACCTGTTTTTCATGACCACTCAAGCTTCAGTCTTCCCTAGCATTTCCCCGTCCTCTTCTTCTTGGGTCTCCCTGTCCGCTAGGAGCAAACCACCCACCTCCAGGCTTTTTATGTTTTGAAAACATGACTGTTATCTTTTAGGAGTGAAGCGAGTCTCTGAGCACACTCAGGCTGATGACCCCACACTTTTGAGGAATCTTACTAAAAAAACAGAACGACAACAGGTAGGAATTGGGAAAGAGCCTAGAAAACAAAGAAAATTGCTTAGGGCAAAGTGAGACCCTGGCGAAGGATGGGTGTTTGGGGCAAAGTAGCCTCATTCTTTATTTCTTTTCCAGCTTTATCTCATAACTGGGTCATTGGTCTTTTCCTTTCTTTTGTCAAGGTTCCTACGCGAAAGGATTATGGATCAAAAGTCAGTCTTTTCTCCCACCTACCCCAGTACAGCAGACAAAATTCCTTGACCCAGTACATGAGGTAGGATCCTACAAAATTGTCATAACATCTAAGTCTGAAGAGGTGTAGTACTTAGTAGTAACCATTTACCTGCCCAATTATTTAAGTACAAGTTGACCAAAATTGTATTTTTTATTAATTTTTACAACAGGATATATAAAAATGACAGTTTTATCAAATTATCCAACATAAGAATTAAGTTGTTGAAATGACACCTGCCAGAGTGATAGTATATAAACAAACATACTGCCAGAGTGTTGCTGTTAAGTGGTTAAAAGTGACTAGGATTAGGCATGGTGGTGTATGCCTATAATCCCAGTACTGGGGGAGGCTGTGACAGGAGGGTCATTTTGAGTTGGAGGCCATTCTGGGGTACCTAGTAAGGGTGAATTTAAGGCCAGCGTGAATACGTCATGAGGCTCTCTTAAGAGATAAAAGCAACTGGAAATTTGAGATGGACTCTCTGTGAAGAAATATGAACTTAAGACAAAACTTTAGAGGACTGGGAAGTCTGTGCTAGTACAGGAAGTTCCTTTTCCATCTGCGGGGAAAGCAGTAGGTAAGCAAGTTTCCTCACAAAGTATGTGACACTGCCATCCCATCAGCATCCCATCCTCTGTGATCCACCCAGCCATGGTGCGACTCGGCCTGCAGTACTCCCAGGGCCTGGTCAGTGGCTCCAATGCCCGGTATATTGCTCTGCTTCGTGCCTTGCAGCAGGTATGACTTGTGCTCTTATGACCCCACCTCACCTCAACACTGCCCCAGTTTCTCACCCAAGATAAAGTCTTTGACAAAGAGGAAATGATTCCTATCCTTCCTCAGGGAAACTCCATCCTCCTTTCAGAGACTTTTGAGAGGTGCTTTTGGCTGATCAGTTTGTGTGCTCCATAGGTAATTCAGGATTACACAACCCCTCCCAATGAGGAACTCTCAAGGGATCTTGTGACTAAGTTAAAACCCTATATCAGGTAAGAAAAGCCACAAATTCACTCCTATCTTACCCAGACTTTTGTGGTACTCTTGTTCTTTTCTTCTGAGTTTCCTGTTCTCTGTGTTTTAAAAAAATTCTTTCTCCTTTTTTTTTTTTTTTTTTTTTGTTGTTTGAGTCAGAGTCTTGCTATGCAGTTCAGACTGCTTTGTAATCACTGTGTATCCCAGGCTGACCTTGAGCTCCTGGTGATCCTGCCTTAGCCTTCAGAGAGCTAAGGTTAAGGTTACAGGCATGTGCTACCATGCCCTGCTTACTTTTTTTTTTTTTTTTTTGAGACTGGGTCTTACTGCATACCTTAGGCGTGGCCTTTAACTCATGGTGATCTTTCTGCTTCAGCCTCTCAAGTGCTGTGATTACAGGGATGTGCCACCAGGCTAATTTTAATGTGCTAGTTTAAACTGTAAGGAGCTACACAAACAGCAAGTATTGTTGTTGTAGCTTCCTGACTCAGTGTCGCCCCCTGTCAGCAAGCATGTACAATGCCATCAAGTTCCTTAACAAGGAAATCACTGCTGTGAGCAGCTCCAAGCG